GAGAGATTTTCACTGTAGGGCGCGTGCGCTCGCCAGACAGACAGAGAGAGACATAGAGACAGAAAGCGAGAAATCACCCCCCAGGGGGGATTATCACGCCGCAATCCCTTCTCCTCCATTCTCCTCTCGGGATCTTGGGCACGCACGCACACACGCCCGGCGTGAGTTTTAAGCCACCGGGTCCGGGACACGAACCGCAGTCGACTACGTGGGAATCCAGCGACATAGCCATTACGCTAACTGCTGGTTCCCGAATTTTATGATTTTTGACTAAAACTTTACTGACCTTCTATGCTTTGTTTTCCAGTGTTACGGAGTTTTGTCTTTTCTTAAGTTGTGGACAGGTCTATGTACCTCCTATTCAAACAGAATCCTAACCTGTGTTCTGGCTTTATGTACTAAGCAAAGTTCTCTTAACATTTTTTTAAATTTTGATTTATTAAAGCTAAAACTGCCTTTCTTGAAATTAAAAAGTGTATTTAAAAAATATCTATTTGGTGACCACATGAGGCTATATAGCCTCAGTTATGTGCTGTTTTATAGTGTATTCATTTTATCCACAGAGTTTCATGCCTAAAGTCAACTTTTGTTCACAGATATGTATATATGTATCAGCTGAACTTACTATTGAAAGTATTAAGATTACTTAGGATATTTTGTGAGTCAATACAATGTGGGAAAGAATAAAGGAATGGAAAGCAACTGCAGAAATCAGAGACAGAGTGGGAAGAGGATGGGAAATGGCAGAGGGTGAGAAATAGGAGAGAATATATATATACACACACACATACATACATATAAGAAACATATATATATACAAGAAACAAGAAATGGAAAATTATTTTTTGATGATAACATGTGTGTTTAAGCCACTCTGCAGTGTATTCTGGCTGGAAAATTGCATTTTGTATGCTGTGGTGGTGTCAGTGAAAGTATGTAAAATAAATAAAAATAAATAAATAAAAAGAAAAAATAATAAGTAAATAAAATTAAATAAGTAATTCTAAAAAAAGTTCCCAAATCCAAAATACTTTTGGCTTCAAGAAGTTTGGTTAAGGGAGATTCAACTTATAGTTACTTCACACTGAAGTTTCTGAAAGGCGAATCCATCTCCTCTTATGAAGATCTATGTAAGCCTCCCAGGATGGAGCCAGGAACTCTGGTGGGAAGTGATAGAGTGGAGTGAATAAAAGAAGAGAACAAAGACAGAAGTCAGGAATAAGAGACTCCAGGGGGCCATTGAGGGCGGTTTTTGTGTGGGATGAAAGACAAGACAGAGGAGAAAGTGAAGAAATATTGGGCAGTGTCCTCTGGGTCCCACATGTGTTTAGGATTAGCTACCTTAGTGGTTCTCTCTACACATTCAGTTCACTGGGGTAGCTTTTATGACCAACTGATGCCTGCTCCCCACCCCTCAGATATTCTGTTTTATTGGCCTGAGCTGGATCCTTGGCATCAACATTTTATAAAGCATTCAGGTGAGTAAATAAGCCACTGCTGAGAACCACTGCACTGTTACTGTGGGTTCTGAAAAATCACCATGACTGAACGCTAATGGCACAATGTGGGTTCACAAGTAGAGCAGAGTGACTTGCAAATCCTGAGTGTGTGAAAAGGTATCTTTTTTTAAAAAAAAGACTTAATTAATTAATTAATTTATTTATTCATTCATTTATTTTAATTTGACCAGAGAGAGACACAGAGAGAAAGAGAGAGAAAGAGAGAGAAAGTGAGAAAGCAAGCCACCAGGTCTGGGACTCGAACCGTGGTCGGCCATGTGGGAGTGTCCAGCGCCTTAACCACCACACCACCTGCTGGCCCCGGAGAGGTTCTTATGGCTGATCTACCAAAAGGAACCCTAAACTTCTGGGTTTACATGCCTGCCTAAATCTTAGCTGGAGGGACCCAGACGTTTTCCTTTGTCAGATGTGTAGCCTCGTCAAGTCTGTTAACCTCTCTTGGACTGTTTTCCCATTCGCAGACTGGAAATATTAAAACTCAAAAGGTTGTTACAGGATTAAGTAGATGACTACACTTACAGTAATAGCTATCAAATACCAAGTATTAGACAGTCACAATTTCCCTTGTTCCTGCTAGAACTACCTGGATACATCTCCCTCCCTCCAAACCCAAAAGTAGTTGGGTAGAGAGCATTTCCTTTCTTTGAGCTTCAGTATTTGCCTAAATTATTTTTGTTTTGTTTTGAGATTTTTTTTTTTGGAGAGGTTTTTGCTATAGGGTGTGTGTGCTCGCCAGAAAGACAGAGAGAAACAGAGAGACAGAAAGTGAGAAATCACCCCCCAGGGGGGATGGCCACGCCGCAGTCCCTTCTCCTCCATTTTCCTCTCGGGATCTTGGGCACGCACGCACACGCGCCCAGCGTGAGTTTAAGCCACCGGGTCTGGGACTCAAACTGTGGTTGACTACGTGGGAGTCCAGCGACATAGCCTTCATGCTAACTGCTGGTCCCATCTACATTGTTAAAATAGGCAATAGAGGGGCCAGAGGTGGCTTGGGGATTAAGACACTGGACTTCTACATGGCCAACTGCAATTTGAGTTCTGGACCCAGTGACTTGAAAATCATGCTGGGTACGTGTGTGTGTGCCCAAAATCCCAGGAGGAGAAGGTATTGCTGCATGGTCATTCCTTAGGAGGTGATTTCTCACCTTCCCTCTCTCCGTCTTTCTCTTTCTCTGTCTCTCTCCAGTGAGCCCAGGTGGCCTATGGCAAAACATTTTTAAAAATAGATACAGATTTATAAATACAAATTATGGATATGAAAATATTTGCTCAGTTCACCTTGGAAGATTATTACATATGCTCAGAATATTGGTCTTTATGCCTTGCTAGTGAGGGTGGTGAACACAGAACTTGTAATTAGAGGCCTGGGCACTGCTGATCCTGAAGGCATTTTGTCGATGCCCCTCTTCACTCCCCAGCAAATACATCTCTTCTTTTTCTCTTTCATATATATGTGAAGCAGAGAGCGTCCAGTGAGGAAGACAAGCAGGGTTTACTTAAGAGCCGTGTCAGAGGTTGCTCCAGGAGCTCTGATGTATCTGGTGTTGTAAAGGATGAGTACAAGAGAGACAGAGACAGGCACTGTCATTGTCACAGGATCAGTTGCATGTGCCATGCCTGGAAGCTTTCTCTATTCTTCTGATATCAGCACCCTGATTTTCCTCTGGAAAACCACCCGGTCCTAACCCAGCTCCAGAGGAAGGAGATTGAATTTGTAATCATCATATTTCGTCCTGCAGATCACGGTGACTAGCTCAGGGATAAGCATGTAACTCAAGTTCATCCAAGAGACTAATTTTTATTAATAGTTTGGTTTGGTTTGATTTGTAGGCGCCTCTGAACACTAGCCTCTCTTGACCTGTGGTTGTGAGCTGGACTCCTGGTGGTCATCTTTGCTGAAATGTGGGGAAGCCAGCTATAACAATGTGCGTAACTTACTGTGGTGTTGAATGCCAGGGGTGGTGAATGTGCTTGTATCCTTGATGTGATTATAGCACACTGTATACACATGAATTATTATATCTCGACCAAAAAAAAAAAAGGTGTCAACACGGGAAAGCAGAACCAAGATCTGGAGAGGGGTCGAGAGAGTGCAGCTGGTGATTTTGCAATTCTAGATCCTGCTGGGCCTGAATGCATTGGTAGTACAAGCCAATAAGTTCCTTTGGACTTGAATTTGCTTGACTGATTACTGTCATTTGCAACTGAAAGAATTCTGATTAGTAAGGCACAACACTAAGGAAGAGCTATGGTGGGTCACTTAAAACTGCAAAAAGGGACTAGATGGTGGGACCACAGTAAAATGCCATGCTCTGTGAGGCTGACCCACATGGGAGGGTCCAGGTTTGCATCTGGAGACGTCCCTGGATATGCAGGGCACATGTATACCTCCGATCTGGGCTGGATGAAGCTGGGGGTGGGGGTATTGTCTCTCTCTTCCTCTTTCTTTCTCTTTTTCCCTCTCTTGTTCTTGGACAAAAAACAAAACAAAACAAAACAAAACAAAAAAAAAAAAACCCCAAAAAAAACATAAAACAAAGAAGAGAAGCTGCATACAAATAGGGTCAGAAAGGCAAAAAATTAGAATGGGATGAAACTGGCAGAAAACTTTTAATGCAGCCCTTGTTCATTCAGCAATTGTGTGTTAGGTCCTTGTTTGGTACACACAACAGAAATGCAGCACGTTACCTTGAGAAAGAGCTTTGGAAGGACTTGGTCCAAAATTCCATAAAACCTAGACTCTGTTCTGCTGTAGGACTTTACACTTACTGTTTGCTGTGCCCAGAAGACTTTTCTTGCCAACTCTTGGCATAATTGACTCATTCTTATCTATTTTTTTTTTTTTAGGGATATTTTTGCTATAGGGTGTGTGTGCTCTCCAGAGAGACACAGAGAGACAAAAAAGTGAGAAATTACCCTCCCTCAGGGGGGATGGCCACACCACAATCCCCTCTCCTCCATTCTCCTCTCGGGATTTTGGACAAGCACACACACACTCATACAGCATGAGTTTAAACTGTTGGGTCTGGGACTCAAACCATGGTCGACCACATGGGAGTCCAGCGACATAACCATTATGCCATCTGCTGGTCCTGATTCATTCTTATCTTTAAGGCCTCAGGGAAAAATATTTTTCTCTTCTTTGAATCCCCTAAACCCTTGTCTAATGCAGAGCATCCTCATGCCCACACTCTTAAGTACTCATCATTACATTTTCCTGTTTCTTTTCTTTTCTTTTCTTTTTTTTTTTTTTTTTTTCAGAGAAATTTTTTGGCATAGGGCATGTGGTTTCACCAGAGAGACAGAGAGATAGGTATAGGGCATGTGGTTTGACCAGAGAGACAGAGAGATAGAAAGTGAGAAATCACCCCCAGGGGAGATGGCCACACTGCAATCCCTTCTCCAATCTCCTCTCAGGATTTTGGGCATGTACATACATGTGCCCAGCCTGAGTTCCAAGCTGCCAGGTCTGGGACTCTGTTAACTATGTGAGAGTCCAACAATGTAACCATTATGCCATCTGATGGCCTCCAGATTTATTTTCTTCATATCACTTGTCATAATCGAAAATGAACTAGTTCATCTATTTTTATACTTATTAAGCATTGGTCTCTAGCATTGGAATGTAACCTTTTGTAATGGAATATAACCTCATGTGATGGAAACCTTGTCTCTTTTTGTCTACTGGTGTGTCTCCTTCATCTAGCACACAGTGGTTTCTCAGAAAGTCTTTGTGAAATGAATTCATGAACCAAGGGCAGAAAGCAAAGTTAGGCCTCCTGAGGTACTTGGGGTAGTGAATAAAATGTCATGGAAATCAAGGCATAGTTGACTAAAATGCTGGTGGTCTCTTACTGACGCAGTTCAAGCGGCATAAGTTAGGCACTCTCTCCTGTGAGTGCCTACATATACTTCTTTTTAAAACAGTTTTTCTATCAGCCAACTGGTAAATACTTACTGAATTGTGCTATAAGCCAAGCTCCTGCCGTGGTGGGGCTTATAGCCGGGAGAAACCCATGTTGGTTGTTGGCAGAGATAGGGCACTAGGGGAAGGTATATGAAGTCACTTAACCTAGCTGGAGGGCTTCCTGAAGTGGATCTGAGGAAAAGCAAAAATTAGGTCAAGCGTAGGGGCAAAAGTTTAGCTGGGATGGGAGGGATCCAAGGAGGTTTGTTCTCAATAACACTGTTCTAATTTTTTCATTATTATTATTTAATTTTTTTAATTGATAAAGAGTATATATGCTTGTCAGAGACAGAGAGACAGGGAAAGAGAGAGAGAGGGAGAGCATCCGCAAAGGAGCTATGTCATACCACAATTCCTTCTTCTCAATCTCTCCACCTGTTGGGATTTGGGGCATGCATGTACAGGTGCCTGGCTTATTTTTCAGGCCCCTGGGGCTGGGATTTATACAGCATTAAGGGCCTTGTTGAATCTAGCTCCCTTAACCACTAGACTCCAGGGCTAGCCAAACACATGTGTGGTTTTTAATATACTTTGACATGAAAATTAAGATCATAATTAATAGGAGAGACCAGTAGGTGGCATGGTGGTTATGTTCCTGTACTCCCATGTGGTCAACCACAGTTTGAGTTCCAGACCTGACCTGACAGCTTGAAAAATTATGATGGGGCACGTGTGCATGCATGCCCAAAATCTCAAGAGGAGAAGGGAAGAGAAGGGGGGATTGAGGTAGGGCCATCCCCCCTGGGGCAGTAATTTCCCACACCTCTCACTGTTTCTTGCTGTCTCTCTCTGGAGAGCACAGGTGCCCTATGGCAAAAACCTTAAAAAAAAAAAAAAAAAAGAAAAGGAAAGAAAAGAAAAGAAAAAAAAAAGATCATAAAAAGGAAATGCTCTGAGAGAAAGTGTAAAAACCAAGACAGAGAAAACAGACACACAGTATGAGTCCTTTAGAATATGCTCATTCCTCTCCTGAAGAAAGGTCATGTCCCCTGCCATGACTGACCCCTATTCCATCTTCAGTTAGACCTTTCCAGCTGTTATGATGTCACAGCCCACTCCTGTCTGTGGTCGGCAGGTGGGGTGAGACTTCCTACAGAGGAAAGGCCCTCTTTCTCCTCCTTTCCTTTCAGCCTCACATTTTCTGGGCCTCAAAGTGCCTGGTGCTACCCCAAGGGCTGGGTTGGGAAAGAGCAGTCAATGGTTATCCGAATTCCTTAATGAAATAGTCCAGTTAGAGGGTTTTTTTCATTTGCTTTATTGTCTACTCATCTGGGGATCTGAAATGCACATAACACTTGCACACATTCCCTGCACCCCATATGACTCTTTGACCTAAAATACTCCTTTAGAAGTTTCTTCTTCTAAAGTTCTCATGGGTTATACCTTCAGATTTTAAGCCCTCATTCGTCAGATAGATAAACACACACGAAAGCATGCATGTGTATTAAAAAGGCCTCTGCATGGAAAATAAATGAGAAGGAAATGCCAACGGAGCCTTATCAATTGGGGTATCTCAGTATCTTTAGAGAGAATCCCAAGCTCTGACTGCAAATAGATAAGAGAGGAGAGAAGCGATGATAAAATAGAAACGGCTGTAATATTTTATTCTGTTTAAAGCTGGTTGGGGAGTATATGTCTATAGTACTTTCTGGGGTAGAATTCCTTTATTCCACTTATGAGTCCTCTCCACCCTGGCACAGGGGTACTTGCGTGGACCCAGCTTTGTGTGCGGGTGTCCTTGATCCTTGGGGTGCACATGGACAGTCCTGTGGGCGCACAGCCTTCTGTCGATGTGGGCAGCATCCGCTATCTTCCCGGCCCACCCCTATGCATAGG